TTATGATTCTTGACCCCAAAGAAACTGTTTGAAGAACTTTTTTTTATTAAATCTCGATGGATTAGATCTTTTTAATTTTGTTGTTTGATATTTTGATCTTGTTGCTCCATTTTTAACCTTCGATAATCCTTAATTATTCCGCATCAGTATTTTAAACTTGCAAATTCAACAAAAGAGTGATAGCAAATTTCGCTTATTTTTTGGACTTCGAATTTCAAACTTTTTTTTATGGCAAATAGTACTATTAGATGAAACATTAATCTCAGTAAAATTTCAAGATGAGCACGGTTCCAGAGATACAAGGGGGTAAAAGTGATGATTTCCAGTCAAGATATATTGCATAAGGATAAATACGTGACTGAAGTTTCTTTTTGAATCCGGCATAAAAAAATCCATAAGAAACGATATGTTTTATTTCATTAAATATATATTTTATTCCTTGGTATGGACACTTCAAGAGTTTCGTGTACTTTCATGGGTTATGAGAAACCATTACTTTCACCCCTTTATATCTCCGGAACCGTACCTATGCTCATCTTAAAATTTCTCTAGGATTAATGTTACATTATAAAATACTATTGTATTTGGCATAAAAAAAGTTTAAAATTTGAGGTCCAAAAAATGGGCGAAAAAACTTTCTGCCATCACTCTTTCGATATCTGATTTTGTTGCTTGATGTTTTAATTTAACTCAATTTTGTTGCTCCATACTCAATCTTTGAAAATTACTCCCGCGGAGTAATTGTTGTTTTCGAAGGAAAGAGATTAATACTAAGGCGTCCCGATTTACTGTATTACAGTACTGACCAATCTGTTAATGACAGATATTTGAAATTATTTAGAGATAAAAATTCTAATATCAGAAATGTTCAGATTACAGTAGTCTATGGGAAGTGTTTAAAGATGATCATCTGCTCAAAATTCACGCGTTTAAGTCCATTGCATAGTGAAGACGCCCTGAGACGCCCTTAGATATTAATGTTTATATATTTTTTTGTGAGAACTTTTGAATTTATATTTTCCTAATTTTTCTTATTTAAAATATATATCTATTATCATATACAGTCAATGGCACAAGAGCGTGTTATCTATTTCTCTTGAGAAAGAAAAGATTTTAAAAAAATTATTGTATGATTTTGAAGTATATTATATACGCTTCGATGCATTTATATTTAATACATCTAGTTCCCTCCGTTGTCGATTAAGACTTGGAAATATCGAGACATTTTTACAAGGTTTTTTGTAAAAGTCTCGGAAACTCCAGATCATGAACTTCCAAATCGAACGTAATTGATACAATAATTTCTTTAGAGTAAAGACACGCTTTTTCTTTATCTAGATTTTTATAGCATTCCATACATTTTCAATCGTGTTAACATGAAAAGATTGTAAAAATCAGTGTTTTGTAAAAATGTCATTTTATGTACCCTGTATTTATTGTTTCATCCAGTTATAACACAATAACTAAACCGAACTGAAATGTAACTTTCAAAGGATTTTAGCTTAATGTATTACAAATATTAACATAAAAATTTTACTCATACGACATCTATTAACAGAATTATGAATAACATGCTTTTGTGCCACTGACTGTAAATACTTGTTTGTGAATAGTATACATACACACGTACGAACATATATGTAAGTAGATATATACGCATACATACATACGCACGTACTCATACACAGTTACGCACATACGCATACACATTCATGCACGCATATGCACTTATATACAATGTTCAGAAAAAAATATTCAACATAGTAGATAGCCCACTCATATATTTATTAAAAAAAGCTTTAAGGAATATTCCCTTAAATCTTGTACACTTAAGAAACATCCTATACATATATATATATATATATATATTTTGTAAGTAAATCCATTTTTTATTTACATCATTTCTTATTTAAAAGGTTATACAAATCCATGAAGAAGTGCAAGTCGTTTCATGTTATCAGCTTGAAAATTGCTTCTTTGATAAAGTTAATTTTGCAGTATAGTGATTTGACATTTTTTATATAGTTTAGTGGCTATTATCTCCCTTTTAAGATTTGAACCTTTTTTTTTAAATACCTTGTACCTGACAATTAAAAAAGAGATTGAAAAAGAGATAATAAATCAATCTTTATCATATTTATGTTACTGAATTAATTGTGATATAAATGAAATATGAGACATGTATATACATATAATATATATATATATATATATATTTATATATATATAAAATATATATAAATACACATGCACACACGTACACGCAAATATACGCATACACACACACACACACACACACAGTGCTTCTCAATTACCAGTGTCCATTAATTAAATAGTGATATTCTTTAATACAAAATGAAATATTCTAAACCATTTTCTTTTAGGACATTTATAATAAAGAATAAGTTAAATAATTGTGCCATTCTTTAGATGAACATATGTCTGAATCATATTTTTGGTAATGTAATTTCTATGCACATTATGTATCAGGCTGAGTCACAAATATATTTAAAAAACAGCGCTGATTGGATGGATTTTATTTAATCCTTCTGTCAATATCCATATGTCCATTTCGAATATATCCATACATATCCATTAAACATAAAATTTTTTGAATTTTTATGCAAATTTTATGATGCTTCAGATTTCCATCCTTGGATTGATGAACAATTTTTATTCTAAATAAATTCATTTCGATTAAATGCTTTATTTAGTGTTTTAGCTTTATTGCAGAACTGTAATGCAATAATATCAGGAATCCAATGTATGCGTTTGCTGCCTGAATATTCACTATCTGAAAAATCATATATAGTCTAAACAAAAATTGTTGACAGAAGAATTAATAATTATTTTTTAAGCATCGCAAAATAATGATTTCAATTATTTTGACTTGAATTTTATTAGAAAATATTTTATTATGAAAATTTTTTTTAGAAATATTACTGTGTAATTAGTGGATACGAATCGCAAACTATTCTGCATGTTCGTGCACACACAAGCACATATGCCAGAGAGAGAGAGAGAGAGAGAGAGAGAGAGAGAGAGGGAGAGGGAGAGGGAGAGGGAGAGAGAGAGAGAGAGAGAAGAAAAACAGTTTTTTAATATTTTTAAAATCATGACAATAGAAAATTTGCCTACTAGAAGTTGTATATAATATTATACAGCGTAATGTTTACTTTTTAGATAGAGTTGCTTTTACTATATTTTCTTATACAAATCCATTTTTTCACATTCTGTAGATAGAAGCATTAAGATAAGGTTATCGAAAAGTCAATAGTGATAGAAATTTCTTGATATTTTTTGTACTTTGTTTTGTACTTTATTTTTCCATAAATTATGCTATGACATTCACAAACAATATTTATAAAATTTATGTAATCTTATAATTAATATTTAATAATTTAATATTTTTTGCAATAAAATGAATTAAAAAGTGTAAAGAAAGTATATTACAAAAATATGTAAGTATATTTTAATTATATTAAATATTTCAAAATTGTAT